AAGAGAAATAGTCAGAGGGAGTTTTGGGGCCAGTGAAGAAGATGGCTGATGAGTGGTTAGTGCGGCGGCGAGATTTCACCGGAGAAGAAAGATTGCAACGCTGTCCAAGCAAGTTCTTGAATGAGACGAATTGTTGCACCCAAAGATGAAGGGGGCAAGTTTTCATATTATTGCTAATTCAAACGTCATTAGCTTCAAGCAATAATGGAACAAGATTAAGAAGATAGGAAATTTGTGTTTTTTTTCCATGCAGGCAATTTTCTGGGTGAATGAAATGATAGATGAAGATGTTATAAATACAATCAGAATTGAGTAGTTGAAACAAAGCAGTGTTGCTGGGTGTTATATGATAGAGAGATGCCTACCAAAGTGAAAGGTAAGTTTTTTAGAATAGTTATAAAACCAACAATGCTTTATGAGAGTGATTCTTGGGTCGTGAAAGTTAAACACATTTACAAGAAGAATGTTGAAGAAATACAGATGCTAAGATGAATTTGTGGTCATACTAAATTAGACAAGATTAGAAATGATAATATTACTAGAATGTTTAAGTAGCACACATCAAGGGGAAAATGTCCGAAGGTTTCTTGAAATAATTTGTTCATGTCATGCGTCAATCTGCAGTGTAATGCACCGGTCTATAGGTGTGCAACCATTGTGAGGGTAAGTGTTAAAAGAGGAGGAAAATGCATCTAAGGACCTAAAATCTTTGGGAACCCATGCAGACATAGCGAAGTGGGGCACAGTGGATAAAAAATCTAGATAGTCGATGCCTGTTCTTTTGAGGCGAGGGTTTATCAGAACAACCTCTCTACCCCACAAATGTAGGGGCAAGGTCTATATACATCCTACTCTCCTCACAATTCACTTGTGGGACTACACGGGTTATGCTATTGTTGTAGTCAATGCCTATTAGTTGAAAATATGTTTTAGACATGCTAGCACTTTTAATGCCCTATACTTTATAGTAGTGGTTTAGCATTTCAGAGATTTGTAGGTTCAAAAAATTATGGAAAACTTCTATTACTTTTTGTATTTGCATAATATTGGCATGACATGAGTTTAAATGGATAATATGATCAATGAGGATTCATATAGCAAACCCCAACTTTTTTGGGACTAAGGTGTATTAATTGTTGTTGTTCGTAGATTCTTTGATGCTTTTTTGTAGATCAGTGTGTTCGCTGAGGAACCTCATTATTATGCATTATCTTAGTTGGCAATTGACCTATAATTATCCTACATGTTTTCCTTGGACTCTGCTACAAAATGTTAAAAAAATTCTGTTGTGAAGTTAATTTTCAATTGCATTATTGAATTACAGTGAACTATTTCCACTATTGTCAGGATGCGGCTGACTAGTTTAGTGAGATGGTTGTTGAATCCATAAAGGAAAAATGTCAAAGAACTAATGACATGTACATAAACTCTTTTATTTACTGTGAGATACAGACCTCTATAATTAAAATGCAAGCTATGTTTATTATTTAGGATTAAAGATGTTCTATTTCTCCAATTCTTGCAGTTCCTTGAAAAAACAACTGATTGTAGCAAGAGATACCAGGCGCGTAGACATATTATGTTATAGGCTTTCATTGAGCCAAAAAATTTCTTTTGGTGCCGAAAATTGCCCAAAGCTGTATGAAGTTCTTGATGAAGCAGTGAACAAGCTTGAAGCAGATGTTGGCCCTTTGACTGGTTTGCCTGTGAAGATGGCTAGAGGTATAGTGAACAGGCTCTCATTTGGCCCTGCTGTTCAGCAACTTTGTGGCTTGGCTGTTGAGTACATAGATGCCCTTCTCTCTGAGAGAGTGTCTGAAATGCCATCTAATGCTAAGGTCAAAGGTAATACTCATTCTAATTTGTGGTTTGTTTGTGCAGTACATATATACTGTCCTTATCTTTTTATTGATTCTGTAGATTCCCCTTTCTCTTCATGTGTTATTGTGATGCCTTTATTGGTTTCTTTGTCTAAGCTTGGTACTCATTTGATTTAAGTCGAGTGAAGTAATCAGCATTTACATGGGCTATATTTTTTAGATTGCGAGGTGATAGAATCAAAGCTCGTCAGATTTGAGGATGTCTTTACCTCATCTGTGACCGTTGTTTTGAGTTCTGAAGGGTCATCTATGGAGAATGTTGTTGGTTACACTTTGTGGCATCGGAAAGCTGTTGAAACGGAATATCCAGTAGAACCAACTCGAACATTGTTTTCCCCAAACACTAGGTTTGTGCTCTCAGATCTGATGCCAGCTACAGATTATCTTCTCAAGATTGTTTCCCTTGATAGCAAGAGAGAACTGGGAATGTTTGAAGTTCAATTCTGCACCAGTAAAGCTGGAAATGAACTATCTAATCTGAACATGAAAAGCTTAGAAGTCGAAAGAAGTCAAAGTCCACCAACAAATTGCAGCAACCTTTCTAATCCTTCTTCAGTGGAGGATGAAACTAATAACATCGTGCTATGCAGCAATGAGGATGAGAACAGACGGGATAATTGTCTTTCTTGTTGTGATAACACTGATAAAGCAATTTCTACAGACTTGTGTTGCACCACGATCGCCTTTGCTAGTAAAAGTCATATAGGAAATGAAGGAGTAATGGTATCTTTAGGTGATGAGGAAGATAGCATTATAAAAGTAATCTCCTTGCCAAATACTGATGCTGTAGATCTTGAGAACAAGCAGTGTTCAGATGTTCAAACAACAGAAGAGACGAGCACTGATAATGGGTCAAATGCACCTCTCCAGACTGCCTTAGAATTTACACCGTTTGTAGGTAGTGTGGAAGCTGGCTTACCTATTACACCCTGCAAGATGGAGAATGTGAAGGGAAGTCTTGGGCGGAAAGGAAAATCAGAACATTGCAGCAAGGATCTCGATAATGGATCAGGGAAGGAGGATGGACCACAAGTTGGCTGTTCTTCGAAGAAGAGAGTTGGAGAATGGCATGAAGAATGTGTTGGTACTGGAGATAAGGATTTTGAGTATTACATCAAAGTAGTTCGATGGTTAGAGTGTGGTGGGCATATTGACAAGACATTCAGGCAGAAGTTCTTAACCTGGTATAGCTTAAGAGCTACACCTCAAGATGTTAGGATTGTCAAGGCATTTGTTGATACCCTAATCGAAGATCCAGCATCACTTGCCGGGCAGCTGGTTGATACTTTCTCTGATGTTATTTCAAGCAAGAGAGCTTCTGTAGTTCCGGCAGGCTTTTGCCTAAAGCTTTGGCATTAAAGGATTCGGAATGTGGATCCTCTATCCTCTGCTTCATGATTTATAGTCGCTGCTTAACTGAACATAATTCTTTTATTCCCAAATTGTTCGATGTGATTGTTAGTCGATTCTTATTTATGATGTAAACGATTAAACCATCTTGAATTTTTATTTTTTTTTCCTTATAGGTTGGTTCTACCCAATTCATCCACATTTCTCTCTGATGTTATGACATTGGAGTTGGAATGAAAGTGATATTGTGCTGTAAGATAATTTGAAATACAAAATCTGATTCGATATTTACTTCTTTTTTTTGTAGAAGAAATTTTTCTTGATTTGTTAAACCATGAACTTTTTGATACTCATCCTAAGTTGTACCTTTTAGTGTGGACGTCAAGAACTAGAATGTTTGGAAGAGATATTGACTAGGGGTGTACATGACCGGGTTGGTTCGGGTTTTTCAAATATCAAATCAAACCATTTGTGTCGGATTTTTAAATTTATAAACCAAACCAAACCAAAAAAACTCCAGCTTTTCAACCTCGGGTTTTTTCGGATTTTTCAGTTTTTTCGGTAAAGTATTCATACAAACATATAATTTACTAGTACTTCAAATATTTCTTTAGTCCTACCAAAATACAACTATATAAGATGTTTCTTAAAAATATAACACAATATGATATGATTAATGACACTAAAATATCCAACAAAAATAATAATAATGAAATCGCGTAAAACAAATATTGCAAATTAACAAGTCATAATGAAAATGGTCATAATTTAAAAGTACTAAATCATGCTAAAATTAAGTTTAATAAGTATTAGTTACATGACTAAATATTAAAGGAAATTAAAATTAGATTATGTATTTTAATTTTCTAAACCAATGTAAAACTAAAGAACAAATATTCAATATTATTGTCATTCTTAGTGTTGAATTGATTTTCTTTTTGCATTAGTATTAATTTGATTTTGATGTAAGTTTTATTATAATTATCAACATCTGTGAACTATAATCTTTATTGGCCCATTCATAATTCTAAGTTTCAAACTTGAAATAATCTATTAAAAGATAAAAACTATGAAAAGTATAAGAAATATATAAAAAATATATCAAAGTAAATATTTTTATGTATAAATAAAATTTTAAAATTATATATGTAATGTCGGGTTGGTTTGGTCTCGGGTTGGTTTTTTTTGGTTAAAATCAAACCAACCTAAATATAGTCGGGTTTTTTTTTCAAGACCAAACCAAGTCAAACCAAACCACTAATCGAGTTTTTTTCCGGGTTGACTCGGTTTTCGGTTCGATTTTGTACACCCCTAGCATTCACAGTGACATATTTTGATTAAAGTTGATAGATTTCAATAGAAAATCAAGAAGATGTTTATCACATAAAAGGTTGTTTTGCGGGAAAATGTCAGCCTATAAACTTTATTTATCATCTTTTTAGCTCAATTTATAATAACCCAAAATAGATTATTCTCCGTAGTTAAACACATTTATTATGAGTAATTCCTAATTATATGATGTAATATAAGATCTTAAATACAAGGTAAAAATAGATTATATATCACATAAAATGAATTAGATTATATACTAGTGACTAGTGAGAATTGTTTAAACTTCAAAATTTTCACCTTTACCACACACATCTTTGAAACCACAAGATTTAGACAAGAACTCTCTTAAAATACTCCATATCCAACCAAAATACAATCACATAAAATGAAACATATTTTGAGGGAATAATTATTTTTCATAACAAATTGATATCCAAGCTACCTTGTTGCAACAATGAAGACATAAACAAACATTCCCTCTTCAGACTAAAAAGGGGAGCAACAAATGAATCAAAACATCAATCGTTGTAGCGGAGTAAGAGAAGAGAAGACCGCTCTACTACGACAACAACTACAAATGCAAATTCAACTATTCTAACTTTACAAGCAACAGTCTAATGCACGAAATACAACAACTTATATTCGTAGAGTTTCCCCAAAACGAGAATCGCACAATTTTCTGCACTCATCTCTTGTGCTCAGTATTTTATATATATGTCGAATCTCCCTTGGTGCCATAACGTAGCGTAAAAGACAAGTATCATATACCTTAAAACAACAAAAATGAATCGATGAGAAGATTAAAGAAAAAAGAAGGGGAAATCAATGTGAATTTGTTGATAGCTAGCTCACCTCCTTTTTTGTCATATCAGGGAATTCAGTTTTGACAACGTCCTCAAACTCGCAACTACAAAAAGAGACAACATTATCCAATGTTGAAATTTATAAAAATAAGAGACGAGCAAAATAATATATTTACTTACTAATATGAAGAGAAAGGGTAAAGCACGCCTTCTTTCAACCGGCACTGCATTGCATATTCGGCCTCGGTGAAAATAGCTACTTTAAACATTGTTTGCTTGAAGTTTTTCACCCTCAGGTTGTTTCCCAAATTTTTCCAAGCCACATTAATATCTTTCACTGGTATCACCCGGCCTCTAAAAGCTCGAGTTACTTCATCCTGAAAATTCTTTGCTTCTGTCAAATCCTTCCACCTGCAGTTGATTAGCTTTACAAGCTTACTTTCATTGCAACGTTTAATATCCAGAACGTTTATAAATTGTCCTCCTTCTCTTTCTACGACCTCAACTTTTGTTGTCCTTGGCATCTGTTTTAAGTAAGCTTCAATTTTCTCCTTTGACGCGTGCTTTACTTTAACATCTCCAGGTTGCAATAACTTTGACTAGAAAAAACAATCTCAATCAAACATCACATGAAATGGAGTCGTCCTTTAATTACCAAAATCACACGTCTATCCCAAAACGAAAACTACATTCGGCCACGGTTATTAGAAAGGGCAAAAACAAGTATAAAAACTGGCTAGTCGAACAAAACTATTTGCATTTTTTGTAAATGTCTTGTACATAACATACAAAAATGTATACATATACAATAATAATACATTTTTTGGTTATTATTTTGGGAGCAGCTATACAGTATCATTTTCTCATAAAATTCACAGCAAGTTTGTATATTAAACTTATAGAGAAAATGACATAAATGATCAATTATGCTTCAATGTATGTTCAAAATAGTCCCGTAAGTGTGCAGTTGAAAGAATGAAACTACACTAAGACATTTGAGAAAATACGACTAATGACCAAACATACGACTTACCCATTTTTTCCCGAACATATCAAAACGATGCAAACATATTCCACCGTCCTCAATTATCCGTTTCTCCTCATATTCTTTTTGCTTTTGCCTTGGCATTGCACTATAGCGCAAAAGGCATGTATCATATACCTTAAAAACAACAAACAAAAGAGAGAGAAAATGAGCAAGCAAAAAAACAAATGGACCCGTCAAAAGGTACTGACAAATAGAAAAAAAGAATAGCTCTAGCACCTCTTGTCTTGTCATATCAGGGAAATTATATGTGACATCCTCTTGAGACTTGCGACTGAGAAAAATGAAGAAGTTTAGTGTTGGAAAACTAATTTTCGATTCAAAGTATGAGGGTCAACTAACCTACTTTTTATGTAAATTTGATATAAATCTTATATGTATTTTTTTTTAAAAAGACTTTTTCCCATTTAGAAAGTATCTAGAAATTACTATAAGTCGCAATAGTTAACAATACAAAATATTTGAAAAGTAATTAAAAAAGTTTGTGATCAAAGAGAACATAACTGGACAAATAAATTGAAGAAAAGGGAGTATTACAAAACAATGCTAAGAGAAGAAAAGAACATGAGTGACTCAAGTGTGCGGCCTCCCAAAAAAAATTAGAAGTGAATCTTATGATATTACTTTCACTTAAAACAATATTTTGAAGATTGTACAAAAAAGAGTACAGAAAAAAATTATAGTATTAAAAATGAAGAAAAAAAACAATCCAAATTTTTTAGAAGTTCAAATAAAACAACTCAAATATTCATATTAATAAATAAAGTTTTTATAACATCTAAATAAAGTTTTTATAACATCATCCAAGTGCAGACAAATGACTAACATGTTAGTAACTAAAATTTAAAATTCTTATAAAATAGTCTAACAAAAATAAATGATTACTGATTACTCACAAATATATATAGGCCACTAATTTTATTAAGTATTCTTATAAAATAGTCTAACAAAAATAAATGATTACTCACAAATATTTTTGTTAGACTATTTTATAAGAATAGTCAATAAAAATAAATGATTACTCACAAATATATATAGGCCACTAATTTTATTGAGTATTCTTATAAAATAGTCTAACAAAAATAAATGATTACTCAAAAATATTTTTGTTAGACTATTTTATAAGAATAGTCAATAAAAAAAATGATTACTCACAAATAAATATATATAGGCCACTAATTTTATTGAGTATTCTTATAAAATAGTCTAACAAAAATAAATGATTACTCACAAATATATTGCGAATGCACAAAGCACATCTTCCTTGGGTCCTTGTTTAAACCGCCTTTCCACCACCTTTCTAATATTATTGTAATAAATTTTTCTTGCCTCTAATTGCATAGGAATAAAAACCTTAACATCATCATCCAATTCTTCAAATAATAAGAGAGGTCTTGACATTGGAAATTTATTAAACCGAATCCAAATTTCACGCTCAACATACTCTTCTGGAGTAAAGTCTTTCCACCGGCTTTGAATTAGATTTGGTAGATCAGTATGAGAAGGATTTATAAGGATAGATGCTGCTGCAAAGTTCTTAAAACCAGTACCGGGAAGTTGTTTGTCGATGTTCCTTTCTATAGAATTTCGAATTTTATTTAACTGCAAAGGCATAAATTGATAAAAAAAAAAAAAATTTTAAAAAAACATATTACCAAAATAATAATTAATTTAAAGGGAGGGTTTGAGTAGACCTGAACAGCACTATATTGTTGCTTGTGCTTGAAATCTTGTCCATTTTTCTTCAAATTATTATTTGATTCTGGTGTACTGCCATAGAATTTGCGCTTGCGCTTGGATCTTTTCCCTTTTTCAAATTTGAAATTATTATTTGATTCTGGTTTGCCAAATTCATTATTATTTGGTTCTTGCCTGGTAGATAAATTGAAACAGAAGAAATTAAACATTTATTTAGTATCAAGTCAATTTATGTTGTTGAATTCTAGACTACAAGATAGAATATAGAAAATAGAATTAATGGAAGAACAAATCAAACACAAGTATATTTCTTGAACTTAAGACTTGACCTAATCCAATTTTTGGGTATGAAAAATATTATTGCTTGATTCAACAAACTAGGAGTCAGAAAATTCACACAGAATATAAAAGGGGAAGGATTAATGGCAATAATTAAGAGTCAATAAACATAAATTCATGTGAAAATAAACTTACAATTCATGTTCAAACTTCACATCCTGTGGCTCTCTCTTAACCGTATAACCAAAAGTGTCCATAGATCCTTCATGTTCAAACTTCACATCCTGTGGCTCTCTCTTAACCGTATAACCAAATGTGTCCATAGATCTTTCATGTTCAACCTTCACATCCTGTGGCTCTCTCTTAACCGTATAACCAAAAGTGTCCATAGATCTTTTATAAACCTACGACAAATTGATACTGTCAAATCTATCGGCCAAATTATTAATTTTTATAACGATAAAAGAGAAAAACAACATACCTCTTTTTGGTTTCTCTCTGGTGGAACTTGTACAGCTTATGCTACCGGTTAACAAGTTTTATAGGGTCAATATTTGGTTAGCCTGCATCTGCTTCCTAAGTTAAAAGGGAATGGACGGCCCAAGAGAGAAAAAAAAAAGGGACCCACGTATCTATATATTTATATATATATATATATATATATATTCCCGGGAAAATTAACAATTAAGTCATAATACCTAACATATTTAGTTAAAATAACAACACTTTAAAATATTTATTTAAAATGTCAGAATGACAATATTTTAAAAAATAATATGTATTCAGATTTTAGTATTTAAAATTAATTTTATTTATGAAAACAATCCTATATTGGACCAAATTCTAAACCAATCAGTTACCAATACCCATTAACCTTCCTTCTTCACCTTTCACGTTTTTACCCCACCTTTCACATTTCTATCCCTTTTTCACGTTTCTAGATTCTTTCTTCAAGGTGCTCACAAATTGTTCATCAAAATATATATTTTAATTCAAGAAATTTTCTCTAAAAGCTAAAATATTGTTGTTTTGAAAATTTTCCCATTGAAAAAAGTCCAAATTTACGCCGCCATCCAGATCTATAAAAGCCTTACATCGTCCTTTACCTTCTTCCATCGCCGGCTTTGCTGGTACCTAACTCTTCTATTTTTTCTTTGTTCTAAGTTAATTTGTTGAGTTGTGTTTGCTTAGTTATGTATATTTTGTTCTTGGAGTCGATTTTTTATCGAAATAGTCCATTGGAGTAAGGTCTGCGGCCTATTACCTGATGATTCACTTTAGAATTTGGGGCGGGTTTGATTTGATAGCCGCATAACCCAAAATGTGAAAAAAATCATCAAAAATTAAGGCATTTTTGTTGATTTTTTAGCAGTTTGAGTCTTTCTTCGAAAGAATCATATTGCTTTATTATCCGAAAATGGTATTCTCATATCCTATTGCCTTGTAGAGCAGAATCTCTGCTATTACTATTTGAGAATTGCCATGAGAAGTACATTTTTTAAAATTAAACTTTTTGTTATTGTTTTAAGTTTTTTATTCTTCAACTTTATTTATTTTTATGCAAGTTTGTTTACCTATTCATCTAATATTTATGTATTTCAGATTTTAGTCGATTAAACATTTTTTTCTGATTTCGTTTTAATATTTTCAGAATTATTAAAATCTACAAATCCATTCATATGTTTATTTTGTTTGATTTTTAATACATTTATATTTGCTTTTATGGTTTTAAATTCGGAGAAAGCATATGTATGTCTACAATGTCTGAATCAACAATTTAATTGTGTATTCATTCTATCTATATATATCAAAAAGTTTTACATTTTTTGTTTTTACATTGTATTTCAATCTCAATTAGTATACCAACATGTTTGTATTTCCTTCTTAATTTGTATTCATCCTAACTGTATGCTAACAATTTTGTATTTTATTGGGTATTCATTCTGTATTTTAATCTCAATTTATATGTGAACAAGTTTGTATTTCTCTTTTGTTTTGTATTCTACCTAATTGTATACCAACAAGTTTTGTATTTTATGTGTCTACTTTACCTTTCAAAGTCACTTTTGTATTTCGAATGAAGAGAGTATTTCTTTTGTATTCACACTTTATATTCAATCTCACTTCGTATTTATAACTTTGTATTTTCATCTAACTTTTGTATTCATATATTGTTGTATTCAACATATAGTTCATGATCTATTAGTTTGTATTTTACCTTTCAAAGTCACTTTGTATTTCAAATGAAGAAAGTATTTCTTTTGTATTCACAACTTTATATTCAATCTCACTTTGTATTTTCATCTCACTTTTGTATTCATATATTGTTGTATTCAACATATAGTTCATGATCGATTAGTTACATTAACTTAATGGGATACAAATTATTGTATGCATTCAAACAGAAAAAACAGCTACTAAACTAAAAAAAAAAAAACCCCATTCGTTATACATCATAATTTGGATACAAAATAACTGAAAAAAGCTATAAATCCCAATACATACAAAGATTTCACTGATTCAATCAGAAAAAAATAACACTCTTGTACTCGACATATACGAATATCTCATCCAAACAAATAAAAAAAATCGAAAAAAAATATCTGATTGTTTTTCGATTGTTCACTGGATGCGACAAATTTATAGTCGTCAATTTTGAAAAATTCCGTTTAAAAAATATGCCGTATTCAACTTGAAGAAGCTTTGAAAGTTATCAGATGAATGATTCGGAAGACAAACTAAATTTTTTTTTTGATGTTCTTAAGAAGAAAGCAAAAAAAACGCTCTACAGAAAGATGGAAACGTAACTAATTTGTATTTAAAATCTTTTTTACCTTTTTTGAATTTTTTTGTCCATGATTTTCTCTGTTCTGTTATTAATTATTTATATTCTTTCAAATTAATCAAAATAAAATAAATACATAACTAATCCCTTAACAAACTAAAATAATGACATTTTTAATAAATAATGAAACTTTCCCTATATATATAGGAGAGGTGATAGCGCCTACGTGTCAGCACCACAATTAATCTCTAATTTTTAACTTTTAAATTATCAATTAATTAAATAGAATTAATTTTTTTTATTAAAGAAAAAAGTTACTGTTTTAAATAATCAACTAATTAAATAGAATTAATTTAATATTATTTTAATCAAAGAAAAAAAATTATTTTTTTAAAAGAAAAGTTACAGTTTTGTTAGCCAATTAAAATGGCTAGTTTTTTTTTTTTCTTTTAAAAAAACGTTACAGATTTTTAGCCAAACAAATGTAGCTAAAAGGAAAAAAAATTGAAAAAACGGTTTTGAGTTTTTTTTTTTTAAAAAAAGTCTAACTTCCCACGTTTTCTAAAAATAAAAAATACATATTATGGATAAAATACAAATTTTACAACTTCTCAATTTTAAAGAATTAAATTTAAATTTATAATTACATTAACTAAATTAATTTAAAATCTGAAAATAAAAATAAAAATAAAAATACAAACATAAAGGGAAAAAAACTGAAAACACGTGTAATGGCCCTTATTTGTTTTGAGTTTTTTTTTTTTTTTTTAAAAAAGTCTAACTTCCCACGTTTTCTAAAAATAAAAAAAATACATATTATGGACAAAATCCAAATTTTACAACTTGTCAATTTTAAAGAATTAAATTTAAATTTATAATTAATTAACTAAATTAATTTAAAATCTGAAAATAAAAAAAATTACAAACATAAAAGGAAAAAAATTCATTTTGTATTAATCCTTTTCATATATTACCCTTATTTATAAGCAAACAAGGGTGGGGACTAACACAACAATAAATAGTTGTATGCAAGGCAGCATATAGTGTACTATAAAGCTGTGTTGGATTAAAATTGCAACTATTTCTTTGGTCTTTTCCATTCAACACGTGTAATTGCACTATTTTTTTCATCAAACCACGTGTACCCTCAAGGTCGCACCAACACCCCTCAAAGATCAAAACTGAGTCTCAGTGCTTAGATGCGAGAGAAGGCCCAAAATAGTCCCTCATCTTTGGGTTAAGACTCAAAGTCATCCTTCAATTATCGCATGGTGCACTAATAGTCCCTCATGTTTGCAATATTGGTGCACTTTTGGTCCTCCCCTAAACTTTTGCCTATTTTTTAACATTAATTTTGTTCATAATTTTATGTAAGGAATGTTACATCGTCTTTTTATATATTTAGTAGAAATAATAACTCTATGTGAGAGAAGGTGAGAAGAAGAACATCCTGTTCTGTTTGGTATAAATATTACTGCAGCTAAACTAAGAACATTTTAACATGTGACATTGCAAGAAAAGAAAAAATTGTACTATTGCACGTGAAATCGTCGTGATGAACCTCTCGACTTTACCTACAATACGATTTCTACTAAACAAAACAAAGTGTTTTTCTTCTCACAATCTCGCACATGGAGTTATTATTTCTACTAAATATATAAAATGACGATTAAACATTCCATACATAAATTATGAATAAAATCAATGTTAAAAAATAGACAAAATTTTGAAGGAGGACCAAAAGTGCACCAATATTGCAAACATGAGGGACTATTAATGTTCCCTGTGAAAACTCAAGGATGACTTTGAGTCTTAATCCAAAGATGATGGACTATTTTGGGCCTTTTCTCCTTAGATGCTTCAGATTTCGAAGGTTTGTGGGTTTCTCTTTCTCTTATTCTATTGATGTTTCAGTTCTATTGATTTTTTTGAATCTCTTCATTCCTCATGCTTTCAATTTTAGGGTTCTGTACTTATAAATTTTGGTATGATTTTTGGGCTTCTCCATACGACTGAAATATAATATATTTGCTTCTTTCCTCACAGTTTTGACTGTTCCTATATTTTCCAATTCATTATTTTTGGCTTTTACATATTATCAACTTATTTCACTAATTTTGGATCCAATAGAATCTGTTTCACAGATGCAACACAAACATCGATACTATGGAGCACAATTCTATCATTGATCCTACTAGACAAAGAAAGAGTAAAAAAAAGGGCTATCAGAAAAGAAACATCAAGCAAAGTGATTTGTAGCTGTATGTATTGTACAACACAAAGTACATATATCATATCCTCAAAACTCTCATTTAAAGCAACCTCTTTCAACTCTAAATTTGCATTTGTCTCCTGCAGCTCAGATCTTCTCAAAATTTAAACTGGTAAGTTATTCCACCTTATTTTCTGCGTTTCTGTTTCTTCTCTCTTCTTTTATACTGTATTTTATTCCGGGAGTTTTGTTAAACTTTGTTTATACAAGTTTATTTAAGGAAATATATCATTTCTCATTCACCTGCAAAACAAGGTAACATATGGACTCTTAACTAGGACAATTTTGTCTATATTTGGGATAACTGAACTACTGATGGTTGACATACTAAAGTGCGGATA